CAGAAACGTCGGTTGTCTTTCAACGGGTTACACGGCGTTATACCACATAACCACCGCTGTGAGATCTTCAAGTCCTACAAGAGAGAAATCTGTTCGTATTTTCCAGCTACGTTTTCATATGCATTTCTCTTCTCTCTCGTGCATTTCATGTCCTTTATTTGAACATCTGCTCATTTTCTCCACCTTATCCTATTCTCAGGTTCTCTCTTATTCTCGACTTACTACGAGAGGCCAAGTTTCACACCCGTATAAAATATTAAGTATAATTGCAGTTTTGTATCCATGACATTTGTATTATTAGAGCATCAAGTTAAGATTTTGAACTGAATATTAGAATCTTCATTTACAGTTTAATTTTAACAATTAAGTACTACGGTAGTTCTGCAGAGTTCCATGTGGCATCCCATTGCTACATGCTGAACAGGATCAGGAAGTACGTAACTGGTTACCTAGGGGTGTCCTGGCTTTCCATTAGACGGCCTCTGCAGCGATGAAGCTATCAGAAAATTATGAAGAACCGTGCAAATGCTTTATTCTGTTTGCCACTCAGACTATAGCAAAGAGAAGATGCAGAGAGTCAGCTGCCGTTTTCAAAGCAATGCACACTCTTTGTCTAACGCTGCAACTCTCTCATATAGGACAGCGTCAATCACTGCGTAATGGCAGGACCCGGAACTCAGTACTGGAGCCGTTCAAAAGTACTTCATAAAATGCTTTAAAGTCTTTAAAGAGAGACTTAATGCAATTAATAACTTTTAATATGGTTTCTCTAAAAAATTCTGGATCCGATGGTTATTATTTAAGGTGTTCTTGCAGACAGGCAAGTAATTTCGAAACGCCTGCAGCTCACGGTCTTAGAGAATTCACACAAACTGAGAGCGAGTTAGTATCATGTTCGATTTGTGGATATTTTTCTGCAGTTTTTCTACGTTTTATTGATTTTACGTGTACCTGATGCTTCATGCATAGAACATAGAAGATTTTCAATTACAGAGGACCCGGAGAATCCATCTTGCAGTCGCGCAAAGAAGTTGAAAAGTTTAAATGTTGATAGCATAAATTTAGTTACGGTTGGCCGGAGAATGGCGACATTAGTTGTCATGATACAGGCTATACGGAAAGTAACCTCCGTTTATTTCAGACAACTAATGTAGGAGCAGGGAAGAGCTTGCTCGTGAGAGGTAGCGTCATGTGACTCATTGCCTTGTAAACCATCATACGATGGTATAACTGGTATAACTCCTATAACTGGTCACATAGTGTTTGTTCTTGTCTCTAAAGAGTGAGTCATGTTGTGTCCTGCGATTAATAATCCCGCCACCTGCAAAATTCGCGCCTTTATCCGATTTCTTCACGCTAAAGACATGACTGCTGCGGAAATCCATCATGAATTATGCGCGGCAGTTTACGACCAGAATATAATGAGTAAGACAATGGTGTAGAATATTCAAATATGGGAGAACAAATGTTCACGATGAAGAGCGAAGTTGTCGGTCGGCCATCTGTAGTGAGTGTTCAAAATACTGGCCAAAATCTAATGAAAGACGGCGCTTCACAATTTCAGAATTTTCGTGTGAATTTCCACAAATTTCACTCAGTGTTCTCTACGAGATTATCAGAGTTAGGCTAGGCGATCACAAGTTTTGCGCAAGATGGGTTCCGGAAATTCTCATGGGTGAGCACAAAAAGTAGAGAATGGCTTCGGCTTTGACTTTTTAGAGCTATACCACAAAGATGGCGAAGAATTTCTCAATCACATCGTGCGAGTAATAGACGATAAAATGTGAGTTTCGTTTGTGAATGTTGAAACCAAAGAACATTCAAAGCACCGGATGAACACACATTCACCAAACAACCCGAAAAATTTTAAATTAACGATGTCTGCCTGCCAGAAAGCTGATGGCAACTGAGACAGGACAGGACACAAAATGAGTGCTGATGGCTGATGATGGAATCCATGCAGCAAGGGACTACAATAACGCCAGAAGCGTATCGCGAAACACACAAAGAAAAACTGCGTAGGGCCATTCAGAACAGAAGGCGTGGAATGCTGACATCCCGTGTGCTCGCAGTGTTCCTCCAGGGCAATGCCTGTCCGCATACAGCTCCTCGCACTCGAGCACTGGTAGAGGATTTCAACTGGGAGTTGTTTGACCACCCTCCTTACATCCCTGATCTCGCTACGAGTGTCAACCACCTGTTTAACTACCCGAAGAATTGGTTGCGATCACAGCGCTTCAACAATAATGAGGAGTTGATAGAAAGTGTTAAAACATAGTAGCTTAAGTATGTACGTATTTTTTGTATATAATAAAATCTGTTTTCTCATTGCTTGTTTTGTTATCTGCTCCCCGGAAATTACGTTCCCAATAGACCTCCTGTGTATGTATATATATATATATATGTGTGTGTGTGTGTGTGTGCGCGCGTGCGTGCGTGCGTGCATGCGAAGAATTGTATATTTTTTCCCTTCTTTTTTGCTGTTCTTTATCATTTTTACACTGTCGCACATATTTGGAAGAAATTTATTAAGACGGTAGAGAACCTCCACGAAAAGGTTTTAGGGAACTGAAGACCCCAATACATTTAGTTTAAGTGCACTAAAAATTTAGAAACCACCAAAACGGTTTTCTTGCTTATAGTTCGAGATCTGTTCGTCCTACTGGATTGAGGTATAATATTTCGCGATTCATACAGCTTAGAAGAACAAAAAGGGCCTTGTTTGTTATAGATTTGAGATAAAGTAAAAAGAAATAAGTAAAGCTATCCCTGTAGCAGGCCGTGAAGGCCCATAGGGTTGTGAGACGTTGAGGGTCCCACATTATCTAGACAATCGGCTCAAAGATGGCGGTAAGGTTGTCAGTCTTACGCGCCGGCCGCGCTTTACTCCCCAGGAAAATTATTTAATTAGTTTCTGGTACTCATTTCTGTTAGAGGCTGAGTCAACCCCAGGGCAAGATTTGAGATGTTTAATTCTAAGTTTTTTAAAAATGAGAGACTTTTTTTCGCATATTCACTTACAAATTTCCTTGCAGTTCTATTACTATATATTACTGTCATCAAGCTCAAGACTCTTAAGATTTCAGTATATTACACTACGTAATTATACATGTGCGCTGTGGCTTGGTTAGCTGATAGAGAATAAAAGAGGGAAGATAATATTGGATAACTACAACCATCGGGTATTGTGACGTGAGTATCTCATATTACAACTGAGAATAAAGAAAACTGTCAGTAAAATACTGGACAAAGACCACTACGAAATTTTCCACTCCATGATAACAATAACGACGAATTTATTACGTTTTGTTTCCGAAATATTTAAGGCTTTTCTCTCCAGTTACTGGAAGGAAAGCTGTCCTGTTTCATTGTGTGTCCTTTCCTGAAAAGCTGACAGTTATTCAGCTGGTTACCCATATGTTTTACCGAGAGATATTTAGATCTTGGACAGATTTAGAACATTCTACTTCATACTAGCAAAATTTCGCGAATCGTAAAGATAGTTGAGTGAAGAACTGCGGTATGTATCCCTTAGAAATATTCACAATCGTTTTTTCAGTGCACAGACAGACAGACAGATGCTAGCGCTTACTTAAAAATTAAATTCGTACGGTTCTATTGATATCAGGTTTTGCATCTAATAACAATCACCGAGCAAGTTAGTGCAGTAGCAGTTTTCTATATTTCTATTCGGATGATTCTTGGTTCGATATTGGTAAGGTTACCTGTTATCCTGACTCAGGCTTTTAATGATTTTTCTCAGGGCTCTTAGACGAATGGCTAAATAATATCTAATCATCACACCATATCATTACACATTAATTGAGATTAACTCTTTCTAAGGAAGGTCCAGTGATTCAGCTTGGCTCTTTCTAAAGGACTCAACTGAGTCCTCCCCCTCACCTGAAGACGGAAACAGATGTAGTTTCCGAAATGTTGTGTTTTCTATTTTCTAGAATACCAGACGATGGACAATGTCCAAAAATCCCGCAGTTCTGGACGTTAACTCTTCATTATCTTTTTATACTCTCATTCGATACACTATAATTCATGGAGTCGAAACAACGTCATTAAATAATATATGATTTAGACCGTTTTCTGAGCTATGAAACCACGCAGCCTTGCAAGTGGTTATCAAGGCTTCGGAGTAATATAATGCTACTCTCTTTAGAGTATAAATGTAGGCAACCACCTGCCATACAGCCCTATCCATACAGCTCAGAAAAGTACAATTTAAATGTTCACTGCCATGGAAATCTCACGTTCATTTATTACAAGAATCTACCAAGAAGCAAGCAATTCGAATATACATATTTGGTTGTATAATAGTGTAGGAAATAACTTCTGAGGTTGTACCAGAATGACAAATGTGTTTCCCTCTCCTGTATAATAACTTTTAACTCCACTATAGTTAATAATTTTCTTAAAATATATGAAAACTTCAGAACTTTCTATAAATTTTGTATATTTTACTTAATATTTGAGGACACTTCCATGCAGAGCCGAGGTTTCATTTCCCAATGAGTTTTCATGTTATGGAACTTAATTGGGCCCAAGAATAGCATTATTTCCTACTCTTTTATTGATCCATGTGATCGACTTGTGCCTATCACCGTGATATTATTAAAGAAACTTCGTAAACCTGAATCAGGGAGCAGGCATCTGTTTTGACAAACAAATAATGAATAAAATGCTTAAGATTTGGAAGGCTTCTTTCTGATTCTTGTAATTTTGACGTACCGAAATATTTCAATTAAAATATTAACAAACTGATAAATAATGAAATGTAGACGAAACAACTGTTCGGGCAAAGTACACAGAAATTTTAACGAACGCCAAAATACTAATTTTTATGATTAGTGCAACCGAAATGTTCCCGTAAATGTATTAGCAATGTCACCAACAATGGACAATAACACCGGCAATTGTCTGGGTACAATTGAAACAAATATATAAACTCTACATATAAGAATTGTTGGCTGGTTTCTATAGCAACTTACCTTAGTCTGTGAGACTTCGTGAGGACTAGGAGTGGACTGCAACGATGCCTGCCGTACGTCTGTAGTGGGAACGATGCTGGTTCCTGTCTATTTAAACAATACATCGCGAGGCGCGGCGTCGGCCCACGTGTTAGTCTAACGGCGCACCGTATGATGTCACTGACACGTCATCAGGAGGACCAACCACAGCTCCGTCCCATACAATTCGAGAAATATTCATTTACCTCTTGGCGTGGGTTGTGCAGTGCTGCACAGAAATCGCGTAATTAGATAACAATACCTTAATATCGTAGTGGCTAATGCGAGTTTTCAGAACACAAGGCTGGAAGAATATTTCTACGTAAAGAAAAGTGAAAGAAGGCTGAACTGATTGAATAATGAGGATATAATTTTTACCCTTCTTGAAGATATTACAATATCGTAGTAATATCTTAGTAGTTGATGGCTTTTCATTTCAGACTTCAGTACTGAGGAAAATATTAGGGAGGAAGTAACAGAAGGATGTACAAATTGTATACTGAGGAATTTTATACTCTGTACTTTTCATCAGATATTACAAATCGTTGAAAGTAAAACTGCAGTTTTCAGAACAGAGTGCTGAGAAAAGTATTAAGACGAAAGAAATAAGTTTCAGAAGGGCGAATTCATTATATAATGAGAAATGTTATAATTTGTACTCCTTCAGATATTATTGCGATTATGCTCGTACGTGTAGCATGAATGACAGAAATGAGAAATATATCATTTTTTTCCCCCTTGGCACTACAGCCCCAGTGGGCCTAGGCCTACCACCATGAACTTCTTCGTTCACTTCGGTTTTTCTAGATCTTAGACATTCGGTAGGACTCCTTGGGCGGGTGATCAGCTCGTCGCAAGGCCTCTACCTGTACACAAACACAGAAAAACGCACACACACAAACTAAACATCCATGCCCTGAGTGGGATTCGAACCCACGATCCCGGTTTTCAAGCGAGCGAAGACAGTACATGCCTTAGACCGCTCGGCTACCGTGACCGGCACAATACTCGTATATAATTTACAATATTCAAATTCGAAATCGTGGAAGGATGGAAGGAAGGAAGCACTTGGGAGATTTACGTGTACGTGGGATGATAATATTAGAATGGATCTTCAGAGAAGTATGGTGAGTCAATGTTCACTGACTTAAAACTGGTTTAGAATAAGATCAAACAGCTTGCTGTTGGAAACACGATAATGAATACCAAGGCAGCATGAAATGCAGAATATCTCTTGAGCAGTATAATAGTTATTAATTTTCAAGAAAACCGCACACTTGAAATAATAAGAGGTGTACTTGCTTGTGTTTAGTTTGAAAGTCCACACTTATCAATAAATTACAGGTGATATTTTAATTTAATATTTCATGTATTACGGATGTTTACTAACAGAACCACGGAGCCGGGATAGCTCAGTCGGTATAGCGACTGCCTACGGGCTGGACGACCGAGGGGTCGGAGTTAGAGTCCCGACGGGGGCAAGAATTTTTTTCTTCTCTACGTCGTTCAGACCGGCTCTGGGGTCTACCTAACCTCCTATCCAATGTGTACCGGGAGCTATTTCTCCGCCGGTAAAGCGGCCGGGGCGTGAAGCTGACCACCCACCTCTAGCTAGTGCAGAGGTTAAGGAAATCTGGATATATCCACTTCCCCATACGCCTTCATGGCGTAGTGCTTAATTAGTTAAGCAAAAGAACAACCTCCTCCCCCCCTTGGCACTACAGCCCCAGTGGGTCTAGGCCTACCTCCATGAACTTCATTACAACCATTTTTTTCCCTTGGCACTACAGCCCCAGTGGGTCTAGGCCTACCTCCATGAACTTCTCCGTTCACTTCGGTTTCTCTAGATCTTACATATTCGGTAGGACTCCTTGGGAGGGTGATCAGCTCGTCGCAAGGCCTCTACCTGTAGACAAACGTAGAAAAACGCACACAAACATCCATGCCCTGAGTGGGATTGGAACCCACGATCTCGGCTTCGCGAGAGAGCGAAGACAGTGCATGCCTTAGACCGCTCGGCTACCGTGACCGGCCAAAAGAACAACCTTACCTTACGTTACCTTACCTTACTAAGAAACCCACAGTTTCGGAACCCATTCTTTTCACGTAAAGGCCGAGACAGAGTTAGGCAACGAAGCGCCATGCATTTCACTTACAGAGAAAATGAACAGCTTGCAAGCAAATTGCTAACACGCCAGCACTGAAACACAAAACATCAAGAATCGGGCAATTTGATGCACATTAAATGTCTGGATTTGTATTCTGAAGATGGCCCGATCGAATCTCAGACGCTATAACGGCAGCCTTTATAGAGATTATATAGGAATATGCATTTTGTACTTTCAAATAGATCACAATATCCTTCCAAATTCTTACTTATTCATCATGCAGGTCGTGTCATAACTCAGGCGATTAGTCGCCGGCTTCCCACCGCGGCGACTCGAGTTCGAGCCCAGGTCAGTTCATGTGGGATTTGTGGTGGACAAATTGGTGCTGGGGCAGGTTTTCTCCGAGTACTTCGGTTTCCCCTGTCAATTCTCATTCCACCGACTGCTCCACACTCATCATCTATCGTCCGGGGCTGGTACAATAGGCCAGTTAGTGGCCGACGTATCAAGTGGGCTCAGTCTCACCCCAGCCCAAGAAACTAAAAAATTAACAAATCTACTTATTCACCATTCATGATTGCCTTTCCGCCAATTTTGGGAATTTTTAGCTGAAAATATTCGTGAAACAGCACGAGAATTGACCAATTTAGATTAGCGCATCCCTGTTTAAAGTACTAGTTTCAGGGTTATAATACCGTCTAGCCGTTGAAAGTCAACCTGCTTTCACACTGGTATCTTGCTCGGCTCTTTGACCCTGAATATGGAGATATATTCCTCCGAAACGTCGGTTGACTTTCAACGGACTACACGGCGTTATATCCCACAAGCCAAAACTCTTCATAACCACCACTGTGAGAACCTCAGATCCTACAAAGCATCCCTAGTTTCTGCTACAAACGTACTTTGAAAATTTCCTATTTGTACCTTTTTTTTATTGCTAGTGGGGTGGGACTAAGTCCCTTGTACTGCGGCCACATCTGGCCTATTGTACCAGCTCCAGATGATAGGTGAGGGTGATTGTGGAGCAATTGGTGGAATGAAGATTGGCAGGAGAAACCGAAGTTCTCGGAGAAAACCTGACCCAGCACCTCTTTGTCCACCACAACTCCCACTTCACCAGACCCGGAATCGAACCCGGGCCGCCGCGGTGGGAAGCCAGCGACTAACCGCTTGAGCTATTGCGCGGCCTTATTTGTACCTTTCGAGAAGCTGCTCTTGACTTGTCCAATTCCGGCTTCTGTTTGCAGGAAACTTTTCTCGCTAGCCAATGTCCCCACTGTAACCTATTAGTTCTATTACTGAAAACCACTACCAGTTAGACACAAAATTACTGGATTTTCGGACTTTTTACATGGCCCGGAATTCTAGGTCATAGAGGATACTCTAGGTAATATAGGACACGATGTTTCGGAAAATTGATCTGTTTCCATCTTCAGGTGAGAAAGGAAGACACGTACTCAGTTGAGCCCCTTAGAAAGAGCTAATCTCAATCACTGGATTTGCTCTTTCTAAAGTGCCCAACCGAGTAGGTGTCTTCCTTTCTCACCTGAAGACGGAAACAGATCCAGTTTCCGAAACGTCGTGTCCTATATTACCTAGAGTATCCTCTATTACCTAGAATTCCGAACGATGTAAAAGTCCGAAAACCCAGTATTTCTGTGTGTCATCCACCAACGTCAGAAGCCTTCAGAATCTACGGCCAGTTAGCTTTAACTGTTGTAACCTGTCACTGTACATACCTTCTGCCCATCATTTCAAACACCAAAATGATCCACTCCAGTTCCTATAAGTAAGATATCTGATACAGAACATGGAACGGGTTCGAATTATCACATTCGGCTCTTATGCGATAAATTAACATGTAAGCAGAGCTCTGTGTCCAGATGAGGCTGTGGCGTGACGTAACTCTCCTGTGCTTTCGTGTTAGTTAGCACCATATGAATTATTTAGTAGATCAATACTGCACTTGTCCACAAGAAAAAAAAGAATGCATATAATATAGAGAAACATATAAAAAAAAAGTAAAGCTATCCCTGTACCAGGCCGTGAAGGCCCATAGGGTTGTGAGACGTTGAGGGTCCCACATTGTCTAGACAATCGGCTCAAAGATGGCAGCAAGGTTGTCAGCCTTACGCGCCGGCCGCGCTTTACTCCCCAGGAAAATTAGAGAAACATATATATATATGAAATACGAATCCGTTTATCTGTCAGCTTATTTGTTTCATATTAGACTATACGTAAGGAAAGAGCTTTGAAGTATAGCACTTCATTTAAGCACATGCTTCTAATTACAGAACCGCAAGAATAATATAAAAATTTAAAATACACAAAGCAATGTTACAAAGCAGATATGTTGTGTGAGCTATGACAGAAAAGGATATTTCGTTAAATATGTGAGAAAGGAAAATTTTGAGGAGGGTGTAGAAATCGGTTACAGAAACAGAACTAAACAAGAACTGAGCGTGTTATACATAAAAAAAACTTGATTTTTAGCAGATATTAATGCACGAAGGTTAACGGTGTTGAGCCATGTGGTCAGAATAGACCAAACAGAAGTGGCTAAGGAAATTCTTAAAAGTAAGCCAGGAGATAAAAGAAAAGTGGGAAGGCCCAGATTTTACTGTATGGAACAGGCAGAGAATGATTTGGTAGAGCTTGTTATGAAGAAGTGGATTCAATCGGTAAATAATTGAGAATTGTTATCTGGTGAAGGAATCCAAGATTCTTAGAGGACAATAAACTCAAGGAGTAAGAAAATATAACGTCTGTCTACCATCTAGGTACATGTAATGCTTTGAAAATGGGGTATGGTTTTATAACAAGGCGAGAGTAGGAAATTAATACCACTGTTGAACTCGCACGTAAATATATTGATATTGTTACTGTATTAGTAATTCTCTCGAAAGCGATGAGTTTTATGTAAATAATATATCAAATGTGATTGTATTTTATAT